TGAGAAGGAATTAAATCTTGAGTTAATTCTGTTCTTATTGACTCTGATACCTCATGCTCTTCTTCCCTCTTCTTGCCTACCCTGCTTGTATATATTCGTCCCTTCTCTTTTCAACTCTCTTGTTTCTCCTTTACCTTCTCCATCCTTCTGATTCTCGCCCTTTCTCTCCTCTACTATTTTCATGTAGTCTCTTTAAGTGCAATTGCCCGAAGTTTAACTGTAATAGTTGATATAGGATCTCTTGAGAAGAACATTAAATCTTGATTTTCGAGCTGAACAACTTCCAGCTCACGCCACGGAGGTAGTTGCCGCCCCGCTTTGCGGGGAGCCACTGCCACCACAGCCATCATCTGAAGCCAAAACTCCCATGAGTGGCAACCAAATGACATTATTTCCCAATGAAAAGGAATTAAATCAAGATTTAATGCCCCAAAATGAAAGCCGCACACCATAAAAAGAATTTGAATCAAGATTTAATTCCCCACAGATGGATACCTCCCCCTGGAATCTCCAGATGTCATTAGCAAAGAATTAAATCAGAATTTAATCCTCCCAAAATCATCCAGCAACAAAAGGGATTAAATCTCGAGTTCACACCTGGCAGGGACAGGTTGAAGTGTATCTGACGGTAACGGTTTAGATCGTGATTTAATTTTAATTGCATACTGGAATCCACTCCTTTTCATCATCCAAGGTGATGCAGGATTTCGCAACCATCCACAGTATGTTTCGAATATCCGGAAGCTGGGGATCTCTTTCCTTTAAAACGATGGTGTCAAAGTCTCGGATTTTTGTATGTGATGCTTTGCCTTTTCACCAAACAGCGTTAAAGTTTGCCGTGGAATTCAGGTGAAAGTCTCCGCTCTCGGTGGGATATATTTGTGTATGTATATGTGCGTACGTGTGGGTATCATCATTGCTAACAATTGAGAATGTTCATTTAGTAGACAGCATGAACGCTAATTAATGATAAGAAGAAAAGGAATAAGAAATGACAACAATAAAAAAAAAACAATAACAAAAGCAATATTAAATACCAATAACAACTGCAGTAACTACAGTAGTTATTAGCAACAACAACAACAACAGTAAAGATGATCCCAAGTTGAGTCGTAGTTCCTCGTTCTCGGCTGCTGAGCTCCACCGAATCCTATGCCGGCGAAGAGCCTCACTTCCACCCAAAGAGCTTCCCCAGCGCGTGAAAGTCCAAGCCAAAGATCACCTTAGAGCGCTGGTGAGAAATCACAACGAAGCCGGCCTTAATATCAAGAAGCTGGCTGGTGGTTTCACATCTATAAATGGTCCATAGATTCCATAGAGTATCCATAGATTATCCATAATAAGTCCCATAATCTATGGATAATCTATGGATATGACTGGTTGGTGGTTGAGCCACCTACCCCTCTGAAAAATGATGGACTTCGTCAATTGGGATGATGACATTCCCAACTGAATGGAAAGTCATAAAAAATATTCCAAACCACCAACCAGTGTTTGTTGGTTTATAAACCATTATAATCCCCATTAACTAGTTCGTTATATCTACCATAAACCATAGTTGATCCACCACCAACCAGTCATAGTGTTTTTGTAGCACCAACAGCGATTCTTTCGGCTTCATACTGAGCTGGAATTTCTTGGATGTTCTTCCCAGTAGGCTGCTTTGCATTGCCAATCTGCCAGAGGGCCCCTGCAAAAAATGGACCAAATTCTTAGCTGGTGAACGTAGATATTCCCAGCCAGATACCAAAAGACTAGTTAGGATTAGTTTCTACCCATCTAGTCGATTGACCTAGATATATTATGATATATTGAATTCTCCCATCATTTTCCCATAAAATTGTCCCATCATTTTCCTAGTAACAAAAACATCATAATTCTCCATTATACCCTCTGGTAATGACTAACATAACTATGGAAAATCACCATTCTTAATGGGAAAACTCACTATAAATGGCCATTTTCAATAGCTATGTAACAAATTACCAGAGGGTAACTGTTTTTTTCCTATGGCTCAGAGATTCAGGATCCTCAGCCAGGGCGCAATGGCCAGTGTTACACAGGCAGCGCTGATCATCTGCTGTTTGCTCAACGATTCCTGCGGGACTAAAAACCGGTGATGGGACCTTAGTATGGTTTAATGATGATCTAATGATGATTGAATTGGTTAGTAATGGTCAATATCATGGATAATAATGGAAAATCATCTATAAATGGGATATTAATGGATTATGAATGATATTAACCCGTTAGGGTAAACATACGAAAAGATGTGGAAAACCCATTAAAAAAAAAGGAAAATGATCTACGTTCATGGTGAATTTTCCACATCGAAGTGTTAGTTTACCCCGTTCGTGCCACAAATTCGATCCATAGAACATTGCTTGGGGAGAAAAGCCTCTATCATTTCCTCTGCCAACATCACGAAAGTGCTGTTTAAAGATGTTTAAAGACTCACACTGCAGGCTGGAGGGATATTTTTTGAGATTCCTATAGAAGACGCCCTTCAAAACTGCAAATAACCAGTCATACTTCGGACTTACTTCTATGCATAGCCCGTATGACCTATGAAGAAATCATCAAATATCAATCCTTTCAGTTTTCTCAAACTCCATCTGTAAGTCCGCGTACCCTGCAGTGTCCAGATGGGTTATACCAAGGGACGGAACCTTAACGGTCATTTAAAAAAACAAAATGGATTGTGCGATATATGTACCCCAATTCTGGGACAAACCCATGTGCTAACCAAGAATCAAACCCAATTTGACCAAGAATTAGGAATGACCACTCAGTTGAGCAATGTTAAAAACCTGTTGGAAAATCCCGTCTGATGATTGATTTAGTTTGGGTTTCCCAGTCCCAGTTCACAGATGATGATAATCAATCCCCATGCAATATATGGGCTTGAAAAACGCCCCCGAACTAATCATCAGCCATCATTTATCAATCATAGCCAGTTATACCCCCGAGTCAGGACTATAACTACAAATGACTATAAGATACCCTCCAGTAAATTAACATAGACCCTGCCAGATAGGGGTTGGAAGACTAGTTTCCACTATAAATTGGTCATTTTCAGGGTCTATGTTAATTTACCAGAGGGTACTGTAAAAGATCAACCCACTGGGGTTCAGCAGCCACTATGAAAAAACTGGGATTGTGGCTGCATACTGCCGCCCAGTGGCTTTGAACAAAACAGTGATCAGCACAGCACCGAAGACGGTGTAAATACCATTCTCCACGGTCGAAATCCTCGCAGTGACACAGACCATGAGCGGAGAAATGGTAAATATCAGTGACATAGACCATAAATTACCACAGCATATCAAATGACATATTTTGTGAAATGCGGGGTTTGCCCTGAAATATTTCATGCCCTCCAATAATCAAACACGGCGTGCTGGAAAATCCCTCGTTTATAGATGATTTTCCCAGCCAAAAAAACCCTCCATTTACAGAGGATTTTCCAGGCCATGTTTGATGACACAGGAGGATAAAAAGCGGTTCTTTGACGAAAAGCTGGTTGTTTTGGTCCATTGATTGGGTTTGGTTACACGTTAAGCCAGCAGGGTCATGTTCTATCGCATCTATTGTCCCCATTTTGCTGTTGGTGGGATAGTCCCACCACATCACCCAGCTGCCCCAGCTATCGATGGGCTCATTTCCGTCGTCCAAGGTGCAGGGCGCCGGAGTAGCCCTCATTCTCTTGCGCAAAGGCGAAGGTGCTCAACATGCCCCCGCAGCCACTGATGATGCCACAGACCACCGTGCCCAGCAACAGCCACCTCTCCAGCTTGGTAGGTAGTCTTAGACACCCAAGGGGCTTGTTAGTAGCCCATGAAGAAATTCTCAACTTCTATACAACATTATATAACATTATATAGCTATATCTTTGGGGGCTATATGATCAAGATAAATCACAAAAATGTCTCATCTATGTCCCATAGTTTTCCTCTGATTTTCCAGGCTTTCCGTTCGTGTTTCACCGGTGTCCGTTGGGATTTTCCCATGGCCATGGCCTAAAGGACGCATCCCGCAGCGACTCTCGCCGTTCGGTGGCGTCGCTGCAGATCACCCGTAGCAACGGCACCACTGTGGTGGAGAGCATGTACACGAAGTAGGTGCCTGGGATACCCTCTGGTTATGTCAAAATAGCTATTGAAAATGGCCATAGAAATAGTGGATTTTCCCATTGAAAATGGTGATTTTCCATAGTTATGTTAGTTTACCAGAGAGTATCTGGGATGTCTGGCTTGTGGGAGTTTTGGTGATTTTGGCCTCAAGAATGGGATGTCTGGGATTTTTGTTGTGGGATTTTTTGTGATGTTAGCCTCAAGAATGGGATGTCTCATAGAACATCTATGGGAATGTATGGGGAAAAAGTGGATTCAGTACAAGGTAGACAGGTAGACAATGGTAGACATTTGAGGGAAAATCAAGAGGAAACCACAGATTTACCCATCAACTATGGGGGGTCCCTGCAGATGTCCTAGTTTTGGGACAAGCATCCTATGGTATCCGATTTTCTCGATCGCACTAGCTCGGACCCAACAAAAAAACCTGGCCGGTCTGTCAGGATTAGCAAGATTCCAAAGGAATCTACAGGCAAGCTGGTATCTTTCATCACTAAAAATTCCGGTTTCCTTGCATCCGTTCAGCCAATTCTGGGATAAATAACCACGCCATTCGCATGGCATGTAGCTTTCAATGCCAGGCATCGCTAGGTCGCTAGGCAAACGTGCCATCAAGAAGTACTTGGGGATGTAACTCGATGTACCAGCAGTTTCCATTCCCTACGGCGAAGGAGCAGATCTTGGCTTCCAGATATCTCCGTAGTCACTAAACTGCACTAAAGATTGAACATATTTTCCGATCCAAAAGCTGGCTGCTTGCAGCCAGACATCTGTCAGTCTGCCAGCATAAGCTCTGATTTGAGCTGCCGACTCAATCAAACCACCACAACATCGTGTCCAAGAACTACAAATCAATGCTTAAAGGGTTCTATAACCTCCCGGACATGTTAAAATTAGACATGGTGTATTGATGCTTATTGTTTTAATCCCATCCCTCGAACAAAATCAACACCCCGGACACCCCCATTGTATGGCCTCTTTATTTGCTGTAAATCCCCCAGTAGGCCATGGCTTCGAGGGTTAAACAAACGGGGGAAACAATGCCTGACGTCCAAGGCGCATGCAGCCCACTCGGCTTTCTGATCATCCGTGCTTCCATGCACCCCAATCTGCGGCCGCTTTTTGACGCTTGGGAAGTCTCGGAAATCGCTGGGAAAATCAAAAAGCACTCAGTGGGGATTCGCCAGCCATGTTTCTTGAACTCTCCCCAAATGTTCCTAAAACTGTCGCTGTTTGCCTCGAAATTTCGGCGCCCAACTTCTCAACAAAATCACAAAAAATCACCCAATCTCAAAACATCCTCCATGTTCACAAACAGACAACTCAACTCCAAGTTCTCCAAGGTCTCCAATTCACTTTCCCCATCCCTTCCCCATCCACCATCCACCGGGGCGCCTTCTTCCCCAGGGGACCAAAGCCCCAACATGTCCCAGCCACGACTGCCAGGGCTACTGCCTGGACCCTGAAGCGCGTCGGTGCCACGAAGGAGTCGTCACAGTCGCTGCTGGAGGTCTCCTTAAGGTCGACGGTGAACTGGCCCAAAATTAGGAGTTCGCCATGGTTTGATGGAGATATAATAGGGATATAATGGGGATATAATGGGATATATAGCTGTTTTTGCCTGTGCAATTGGGGTTATTACTGAGTATACAATAACTAGGTTGACTATATCTATACTCGTATTTATACATGAATGAATGGATAACCACCTCTAGAGGAAGTGAAAGAATGTGAGCAACAGAAATGGGGCGCTGCTTGGGGGAAACTTTCCCCAACATGATGACCCGTCCTGGGATGCGGCTCTGGCAATTTGACACAGCTATGGGGATTTTCCATAGCCATGTCAAATTACCAAAGGGCACCACAACAGTGGAACGGTTGAATGCCCAAACAAATGTGTATATATATATATGTATGTATATATATATATATATATATGTATGTATGTATGCATGCATGCATGCATGCATGCATGTATGTATATATATATATACATGTTATATATATATATATATGTGTTATATATATGTGTGTTATATGTATATGTTATATATATATGTTATATATATATATGTTATATATATATATATGTTATATATATATGTGTGTTATATATATATATTATATATATGTTATATGTGTGTATGTATGTATATATGTACGTACGTACGTATGTATGTATGTAGATATATTTTTATACATACATATATATATATATATGTATGTATGTGTGTAGATATATATATATATATATGTAGATATATATATATATGTGTGTATATATATATGTGTATGTAGATGTATAGATATATATATATATGTATGTAGATATATATATATGTAGATATATATATATGTGTGTGTATATGTAGATATATACATACATACATACATACATACATACATACATACATACATACATACATACATACATACATACATACATACATACATACATACATACATACATACATACATACATACATACATAACATAACATTACATTACATTACATTACATTACATTACATTACATTACATTACATTACATTACATTACATTACATTACATTACATTACATTACATTACATTACATACATACATACATACAGACATACATACATACATACATACATTACATACATACATACATATATATATGTAGATATATAAATATATGCGTATATATATGTAGATAGATATATGTGTATATGTATATAGATGGATGTATGTAGATATTTATATATATATATGTATATATATGTATATGTATAATTATGTATACATATATATATATGTAGATAGATATATGTGTATATGTATATAGATGTATGTATGTATATATATATATACATATTTGGCTCGCACAGCCAAGTAGATTCTTTTCACGTCTCCGTCTCCTAATCTTGCTGTACCCTCTTGCAATCAAACATGACAACAGAAGGAAAAAAACAGTGGGAGATTGGGGTTTGCCGGAAAATCAGGTACCCCTAAAAATATTCTGGTTGATCATCATCTTTCGCATTTGAAAAAAAACATTGGGGCTGCTGCTGTCCAGCTTCCATCCTGGTGTCCGAACGTTCCAGGCTTTCACAGTCTCCCATCCCTTAGCCGAGGACGAGCAAACATGGCAGTTGAAATCCCTATGAAATGGACGTCTCTAGCTGGGAAAATCACCTGATAACCCGAAAAACTAATGACTACCAGTATCACCAAAGGGTGATGCGAACCATTCCCTACATTCTCATCTTTGTTGGGACCAATCATCCCGGTCCGATGTGGGGCAATTCCCTACGAAACCCAGGGGGACGACAATAGGGGGGTCATATTTTACACAGTCCACGAGCTTTGCCCAAGAACAGAATACCAAGAAATTTGAAACCAGGATTTTTCTGAACCTGAAACAAAACAGATGAAATTGTGCTGACCAACTGACCAGTGCGGCTTGGCAAGAGAACTGTACCTCTACTAGGGTCAAAGTTCTTTTAAGGCTTTAAGGTTTACATGAAAATTGCCATAAAAATCCACCTACATTCCTCATTTTTAGGCACACCCATAGTACGTACGGGGTAATTTCCATTCCATTCCATTCCATTTCCTGCTTCAAGACCTACTATTTATACACATATTGAATCATATTATGAGAATATATATATATATATATGCATTGAGTATGTATATATATATATATATATACATATCATAATATATATATATATATATTATATATAACATCATATATAGGGTTGTGCTTTTTCCACGAGGGGTGAGTGTCAATGATTTCTTCCGTTTTGCACAAGTGGAGGGAGCATGCACAAACCTTGCACGATCCTGTTTTCTCAGATTTGTTCAGGATGGCCATGAGCACTTTTGCAGCAATCTTGAGCAGGTTTGCATCCCTTCGAACAAATTTGTTGAAGGAGGCATTCGTATCATTGAGGATGGTTCAGAAGGGCGCAGTGACACTGGAGATGACAGTGATGTGCCTACCACAGCACCAGACTCTGATTCGAATGATGAAAATGATGAATCTTTTCTCATGTCAGCCGAACCTGTCACTTTCCAACTTGCGTTGGGAAATCATTATCCGTGGTGGGACGATGGACTGGAGGAAATGGATGAAAATGAACAGCAGCAGGATCAAGATCACTACACGGTCAACTTTGCTCAGGGACATCAAGGACTACTGCAGGATGAAGTGGAACATATCAGGCAATTGCGAACTGATGATGATACTCCATGGCTTGCAGTCACGTATGGCCTTGGTCTCACAGACTTAGGCAGACGTGATATTGAGTTCGACCCTTGGCATTTGGAATCACTACCGGAATTGATTCAACAGACTTGGCAGGAGTTTGCTGTTTACGCGGATCTATTGATTTTCAATGTCCATCCACAGCCGATCGATGTGATTGGCGCCAGAGCAGTAGCACTTCTGGTTGTGGTTGACACACCAGAATCACTGAACGAAGATTTGAGGAATGTGCTGGTCATTGAACAGGCAGTCTCTGATGTTGGGGCTAGGAGACATCCGTATGCTGCTAAATTATCTGCAGAAACCACTGACAGGGATATCCTGGCTCAGCTGAATCTTCAACATCATTGCCCACCTCTTGCTTTGAGACCGTGCCATGTGAGACTTGGCACGGTTCATATGGACAAAGGGCAACTGTATGAATATGACCATGGCACTCTCTGCAGAACATGGATTGGAAACGTTTTCTCACAGGTATTGGAAGCGGAAGAGCATATTATTGCAGTCGATGCTTTCTTTTTGCAAGTGCATTCTTTGATGGAATTGCGGGGCCAGGGGATTAACATCGTATGTCATGTGCACGGCATTACCCCAGCCAACAGGCCTCTCGGCCATCGTGAGATCATCATTGACTCTGATTGGCTGTATGATCTGGAATGGATCGACAGGATGAGGCTACTTTGGCCATTTGGGGACGAGAATGTTGGGTTGGTCTTTGCACAATCCGCCACGCAAGATATGCACGAAAGTGAGAATATTATTTTCCATTTCATTGCGAAGTTTGGTACGAATGAAGGGCAGCCCATTTTGGTTAACCAACAAATGTGGGCTATAGATGACGTCCAGCAGGACCCACAAAGTGCCAATGAATTTTGGGCCATCAGTGTCCCTTCCGGGGAAATTGGCTCGAATATTGTTGGGGCACTACAGGACTTCCCTTTTTGGTTTCATTATGCTCGCTCACAGAATGTTTATCCCCATCTCGCAGTCAACGGGCAGAAGATCGTGGAAGTGCGCCAAAGCTGGAGACCGGGAGATGTGTTGAGAGCGCGATACATTGTTTGGAAAAGACATCATGTGCTGACAATGCTGATTGGAGTTGCTCAGCAGGAGCAAGAAGCGTCCATTGAGCACACCTCGTTTTTGCAACTGTCCAGACAGGTCAAGACAAATGATGTGATCGAGGATTCATTCACTGAAATTTGTCAGGCTATTATGAATCAAAAGGTTGAGGTTGAGCAGGTTGATGAAGCAGTCTCTCTCCTCCCAATGCAGCAGCAGGAAACGAGGGAAGAACGGGATGTTTCTAGCGATGATGTTGTTGCGGACATGGAGTTGACCCTGTCTCACATGTTGAATGGGCCATGGATTGGCCTGAATACTGACTTTGCGGTCATACCACAACTGCATCCAATAGCACAAGCGGCCTGCAGATGCACTCCTGTATCCAAAGTGGCCACGAATGTATTTCATATCTTCACTGATGGCTCTTGCAAAAATGGTGATGCTGCTTGGTCCTTTATAGTGTTGTGTGAATGCAATGTTGAATCGCAACGACATTTTGTGCGGATTGGATATGCTGCAGGGAGGGTTGACAGTGAGATTGGGCCAACTGAGCAGACAGCGCAGGATGCTGAGGCGACTGCGTTGATAGCAGCTGCCAATTTCATGCTCACCAAGAGGGACCTTCCTCATTTGGCCATTCACTTTCACTTTGATGCCACAGCTGTTGGCAAGGGCAGCTGTGGGACTCATAGAGTGATTCAACAATCTCCAGAAGTTTCAAAAAGGCAAATGGACGCTAGAGTTATGGTGTCATTGTTGCAAAGAAAGGCCAGCAAAGTACAGGGATTGCATGTTCATGCACATGAAGGGCAACCATGGAATGAGTTTGCGGATTCAGTAGCAGGACTTGTTAGACGTGGATGGAGCCCTCCTATTGAAGCTGTTTTGACATGCGGCCCCCTGTTGCGCCATTCTTTAGCGCATTGGGCTTGGCTCTCAATTGCACCTGATGAAGAGTTACCAAGTTTGCGTGTGATCTTGCAAAATGAATCACCAGATGCTTTTCAAGGAACCATTGATCGCACCCTTGATGAGAAAACTGCACATCAATCAGTTCAAGAACACAGAAATGTTTTGAGAGTCGCCACCGTCAATGTTGGCACATTGGAACAATCACAGATCCTCCCAGGAACCAGTGTCTCCCACAAGACACATGAGATCATTCAGCAATTTCTGCAAGAGGACATTCATGTGGTTGCGGTTCAGGAAGGGAGAGCCAGATGCAGTCGCACAGTGCATCATGGCCCTTTCACATGCTTCATAGGAGCTGCCTCTGCGGGGGTTGGTGGAGTTGAGCTGTGGATTAACGGAGAAGAAATCAGCCGGATCTTTGACGTGCCATTTGACCCTCAGCAAGATGCATGTGTATGGTATGCCACACACAGGTTGATGGCAGTGCGGGCTCATATTGGTGACAAAACAATTGAGTTCTTGACATGCTATGCGCCTCAAAGAGCTCGTCCGGCACATGAGATTCATGAATGGTGGGATGAGTTGGAGACAGTCATGCGTCAGATGAAAGGAGACTCAACGTGCATCATCTTGGGCGATTTCAACTGCAAGATTGGTAGTATCAACACTGATGCCATTGGTTCTGCTGGCGCTGATCTTGAGGACTTTGCGGGCAGTAGACTGAGACGATGTTGTGAGCAGTTTGATCTGGCGATACCCTCCACATGGGATACCTTGCATCAAGGCGAACATTGGACCTTTTGTGGAAGTAGAGGGTCGAAGAGCAGATTGGATTACATTGCAGTCTCCAACGAACAGATGAATGCAGTGGTTGCTTCATATGTTCATGATGGTATTGATGTACTCAACGGTGACCGTGATCACAGAGTTCTGGTTTTGGAATTGGGATTGGTGACCAGTTTCCAGCATGACCACATGAGGATCAGAAAACCTCTGTACAACAGAAAGAAGGCTAGAAGCAACAAACTCACTGGACATTCCAGCATGTTGCATTCTTTCCCCCTTTGCAGCTGGAGGCAAGATGTCAATGATCATTGGTCGAATCTTAGAGACTATGTCCAAGACAAAGCAGCGTCGGAGTTTCCGAAGGGCAAAAGACAGCAGAGACAGCTTTATTTCTCCCCGGCTGCTTGGGACATGGTTTGTCGACGGAAAGATTTGCGCCAGCAGCATAGAGAATTGCAGAGGTGTAACAACCTAGAAGCCATGAAGTTGGTGTTCGAGACGTGGCGTCAAGCAAAGATTTCTCCACAAGAGGCGCAAAATTGGGAGCTTTCTGCGCATTTGAGATGCATGCAAGAAGCGGTGATTCTGGAGCAACGATGCAAAGTGGATGTCGACTTCAGGAAACAGAAAAGAGAGGACTGGAAAAGATGGGTTTCTTCACAACTGGACTCTCAAGTCACATCCCTTCAACATGCGACAGCATCACAGATCTACAAGATTTTAAAACCAAAGAAAATGATTGACAAAAAGAAGGGACGACACCACAAGCCATTGGCAGGATTGCGAGATGCTCGTGGGCAGTGGAGAAGTTCAAGAGGTGATGTTGCTGCAGCATGGGAGGAGCAGTTCGCTGAAATTGAATTAGCGGAAGAGATATCTTTTCAAGATCTCATGAAACGCTCTGTCCCAAGCAGTACAACGATCCACCCATCGGAGCTTCACAACATCCCGACCTTTTACGACCTGGAAAATTGTCTCATGGCTCTTAGCGACCAAAAAGCCACTGGAGTCGATGGTCTGGGGGCTGAGCTGTGGCACACAGGTCTCACAGAAAATGCCATGAGAATTTTTCCTCTCCTCATGAAGTCTGCGGTGAGACAGCAAGGCATGCCTGAGATGTCGGGAGGATGGTTGCTGCCGTTATGGAAAGGGAAGGGTCACCCGTCACAGATGGAGGGCTACAGGGCGATTCTTTTGGAACCCACTCTGTCTAGAGCTCTGTCGAAAGCGTGGCGAAGCAAACTGATTTGTGGGTTGGAGCGTGTCGCAGCGCCTCTGCAGTGCGGGGGCAGAAAAGGTGTGGGCATTAGCCCACTGCACCTGATGCTACGCATCTGGCAATCCAACGCTGCTTCACAAAAATCCTCTTTGGGCCTCATCTATGTTGACATCAGATCAGCGTTTTACAGGGTGGCGAAACCTCTTTTGGCCAATTTCAATGGTACAACAGAATCTCTTGTCAACATATTTCAGGAGCTCAAACTCCCTTCGTCGGCTCTGCAGCAGTTCTTGGAGAACGTGCATGGGGCCGATCTGATCAGTAGAGCGACCGGCTCTGGTGTCATTTCGGGACAAGTGTCCTCGAACCTGGCACAGACATGGTTCTTGGTGCCCAACTCCTCCACAATCAGAGCGCCCAGGATGGGCACAAGGCCAGGAGACCCCTGTGCAGACATACTTTTCGGCTTTGCATTGAGGCAGGTCTTACAGGTTGTCATGGAGCGTGCAGAGAGTGCAGGTCTTCAACTATGCTTTGAAACGGAGGATGGTCGGAGCACCAGTTTTGTGGCATGGGTGGATGACCTGGCGTTATCAGTCATGGCTTGTGCGTCAAAGGTGGTCTCAAACACAGCACAACTTCTCTCCATCATCATTGATGTCATGACAGAACATGGCCTGAGTCTCTCAGTTGGCAAAGCGAAGACTGCTGTTATGTTTGAGTTCAGAGGTAAAAACGCAACCAAATGCAGGCAGGATTTTGAGAAGTGCCATGCTGACACCTTGGACGTTCTTTCGGAACACCATGGAGTGATGAAAATACCGGTGGTTGGTTTTTACAAACACCTGGGAGGGATCATTGTCCCATATGGATCCAAGATCCCTGAGATCAAGACAAGAGGGGAAGCCATGCGTCAGAAGTTGGCTCCATTGAAGGCTGTGCTTTCAAATCCAAGGATTGACATTGACAAGCGCAGGTTGCTGGTACGCAGCATGGGTATGTCTGTCATCAAATTGCACAGCGCAACGTGGTTTGATCTCACCCAAGCAGAAGCAGAAGCATGGCATGCTGTTGTTCACGCAACATACGCTATGCTTGAAAGACGGAATGAGCAAGGTGAAGTTCCACACAAGGAGACTTATGAGTTGGCGAGGCAAATGGAGGGTCCCATGCCGATTGAAGCTCTTTATCTGGAAAGGCTGAGATTGTTGGTCCATATTCTACAGGTCAATGATCACTACATCATTACTGCCATTCTCCAAAACTATAAGCAAGCGGGTTGTGCTTCGTGGCTCTATGGAGTCCTGAAAAGCTTGCGTTGGGCACAAGCCCAGATTGGAAGAAATGCATTTCCAGATGAGCTTCTTGAGCTGACTGAGCGATCAACGTGGGACATTTTCCATGAGGTAGCCAAAGAGATAAAGTCCAATGTCAAAAAAGTGGAGCGTGCTCACCAGGTGCGGTTGAAAACTTACTGCGGTCTGAAGGACCACAAGGCATTTATGGAGGAAATCTGCTCAGAAATGGGATGGACAAAGCAACAGCATATGGATGAAGCTGTTGAAGAACCTTCATGTGTGCAGTGTGGCGACTGTGGGAAATATTTCAAAAATGGTGCTGCTCTTGCCACTCATGAACAAAGAGTTCACCAAAAGAGGATTGCATTGAGACGATTCGTTGTCGACGGGGTTTGTCGTGCATGTGGAATTTTTTTTCACACTCGTGCAAGGTTGTTGACACATTTGCATGTTGGAAAAGGAAAATGCTGGCTTTTTCATCTTCGCAGGTTCGCTCCTCTGACGAGTGAGCAAGCCGGGGTGCTGGATGATCATGATCGCACTGCAGGACAAGCCTTACATCAGATGCATGTGCTGCATGATCATGCCAAGAAGAGTTGGAGAATGGCTAGCCAAGAGGAGATGAAATCACCTCTCCAACAGCAAGATTTCGATGGCGATATCTATGCGGAGCCAACACCTGACGAGCTGCAGGCATGGGCCAGTTTTGGTTTGTTGCCACCAGGGCGGGGTGGTCGTGATATCACCCAGCGAACCAGTACAAAGTGGGAGGTGGCCAATGTTTGCAGAGATGTCTCCAGGATGGAGGAAAAGATCAAGAAAGAGGCTGCCATGTGGGAACCAAACTTTGATTGGATTCCACGTTCGCTTTCTGAAGGCCAGCTTTTCTTTTTGGTCCTTTTCAGCGGCCATCGCCGTTTTGGCGACATCTCTTCGTGGATGCAATGGGATAATCGAGTGGTGCCTCTTGCTGTCGATCTTGCAGTCAGCAAAGAGCACGGAAACGTGCTTGACCACAACAAGTGGTTGCGACTGATTCAGGCTAGAAGAGTTGTCGGTGCACATGGTGGACCGCCGTGCGAGACATACAGCATGGCCAGATGGCTTGATATCCCAGGACAAATGTGTCCGCAGCCTTTGAGAGACCAATCAATGCCCTGGGGACGTTGCCACATTTCCCTGAAAGAGCTCCTCCAGTGCCATGTTGGGTCGATTCTCATGTGGGAAACGCTGAAATTGCTTTTGATGGTTTACGCTTTTGGAGGGAGTGTTTCTTTGGAACACCCAAAAGGCGAGTGGGACAGCAATGAAAAGTGGTGTGTCTGGATGTCGGGCTTCATACGATGGATGTTGAAAGGGCCTTCTTTTGACTCTGTCACATTCCTTCAAGGCCCGCTAGGGCAATGCGCGCCAAAGCCCACCACTATGCTGCTGGCCAGGATGGGCAATTTTGCAGCAAAGATTTACGGGCGTTATCAGAAAGGATGGAAGCCCACTGAATTTCTTGGTGGAAAAGATCACAATGGTTGGAAAACTGCAAGAGCGAAGGTCTATCCGGTGTTGCTTTCACAGAGCATTGCAGAATGTCATCTGGAGCACTATGACACCATCCATCAACAGGGGTTCGAGCGGATTCCAGATGGCTTAGACAACGCGATCGCGGCTTTGTCTCAAATCCATGATCCTTACCACATTGACCTATTCCAGCAAATGGCAGCGGATTTCCATCACCATATTGGAAGAGCAGTTTAGTCATCTTGCCTCCTTTCAGTACACATCCAAATGCGATGAATGGAAACAAGTTGAGGCCAATTAGATGCCATAGCATCAGCTGCTTCACAATATGTGAAGTTTTTGGCAGGTGCAGCATGCAGGCGACAGACATGTCACGAGCAGAGAGCAACAAAACATCATATAACCACTTAAATCTCCCATTTTTCGAACCCCCAATGTGCCCCCGCCCCAAAAAACAGTTCTTCCCAACCCCCCCCCCCCGGTTCTTCCAGGGATCCAATCCTCTCGGCCTTCCTTTCACCCAGTTCGATGGCGCCGCTGCCGTTGGACGACGCTCGGCTGCGGTTGGCCACGGACGCCGCGGCGGCGGCCGAGGCCACGCTGCTTTCGCCGTCGCTGGTCTCCTCCTGTTGGACTTCCTGGGTGAACAAGGTGAGCTCTGGTGATGTGTATAAACCCATGAATCATGAATGTTATAGGCATATGTGTATAATTATCTATATATATACAGTATATGTGTATATATATATATGTGTGTGTATGTATATATATGTGTATATATATATGCAAATATATATATATATATATATATATTATATATATATATTATATATTATATATATTATATATATATAAGTTGTTTCATGGCCACAAAGCCCAGTGAAATTGGAGCTGGTGCATGCTGGTGCAAGGTCATGGTGCGACAGTGCTGGAAAGAGGCTTCCCGATATTGGCCTTGGATGAGTTTGGAACCGCCACCGATAGCCTTTTTACATATATATATAATACACTTAATACACTATGTGGATTAATATGGTATTACGGTATTACAGTAAACCCAACAAAATATCCGCAAGATTCTCTGTCTGCTCGCACCTTGAGCTTAAAACTGCTTGCCCGTTTTGCACCGCGCCATCCCTCACTTGGTCGAGGGGCCATCCGTTGGGTGGAGGACTTCTGCGCCAAAACCACTCCCAGCATGATCAAAGCGAAACCGAAGTAGGCTTGTGTCTTGGGGTGCTCCTGAAAGTAGATCGCGATGATAATCGCCTCAACGGCCAGCAAAAAATTATTCATCACTAGGGATGTAAGGATGATGGGACGTGGTATATTGACATAGAGGAACTGCCACCAAATGCGAGTGAAGATGATACCTCTAATTCTGACTGGTTGAATCCCCAGTTGGAAATCGTCATGGAAATCCTCCTCACCAAGCTACAAAAACCGGTGGAAAATGAGGTTCCAAACAACTGGATTCTGGTGTACCCTCAGATAAACCCGCATGAATGAATGGATATTCATGGATATAGCTTCTATGCAAATATGTGACCCAACTCTACCGGTTCATCGTTGTTCCCTATGAAAATTTCAACATGGATATCCCATTTTAAGACAAACCCATGTGGAGTCTCGTTTCCACCCAGTGGCGCTCATCATGGTGTAGGTTCCATTCTCAATCATCGAGATCAAGCCGGACGAAGAGCCGGCAGCCCACGCAAAGGCAATGGTGCCCAGCAGACCTGCCACAGGAAAGGCAGTGGGTCTGCTGGGCAGCGCAACGTGGAGAAACAGCTAAAATGGAGCAAACTGGGGAATTTTACCCTCTGGTAAACTAAGAAAACGCTACGGAAAATGGCCATGTAGAGTTGATTGATCTATTAAACGGGTGATTTTCCATACTGAAAATGGTGATGATGAATGAAATCCATAAATTTGCTGACAAATGATGTTGATTTTGCACGACAAAGGTCCTTATGAGGATGCCACCAAGAATGGTGGGTTTAACCAGCTACCAATAGAAATGGAGATTTTTCGAAAATCCCACGGTTCTTGGTCCACCAAGAGCGCGCACCATGATACACCCCCAACCTCCGATTCCACTCACCACACCACAGATGATCAGCAGCGGAAGTCGCGAAGACCACTCCGGGTTGTTCCAGGTGCGATGCCAACCCTCTGATCCTGTGCGAGATCTATGAGGGATCCATGTTGCTGACAGATGAGATCCTCAGATATTGATGGGATATTGGATGACATGGAACCCAACTTGGATGAGATGTTCTAACTTGAACTCTGGATCATATCTGGATGATTTTGGGATACTTACCCCTACTGACCATGTTTTTCATCATGGTTTTTCCAGGTGTCGGAAATCCGAAAGTCATGTGGTCATTGGGCCCTCGTTTCTTCCCATCATGGTGGGTGGCACTTCCGCAATACTCCCTACACATCTTGATCAATTGTCGGATGCCCTCCAGTAAACAGAAAGCTCAGGAAATCCATGGCTTTCCCGTCCGGAAAGGATCTATGAATGGTTTACAGCTTACAGCTGCGGCTAGGGATAACTACCAACAATCATCTCTGGTGTTAAAAAGATATGGGGGGTTCTTAAAATGAGGTGGTCCCCAAGTCACCATGGCTTTCAATACTAAGTCATGGTCATTCATGACTTGAATGATTTGGGGCTACTTTCTAGGAAACCCCCATATCTTTGCAGTCGCCAAACAGGACATCAGTCTGGGGTACCCGATTCCATCCTGACAAATCATCGTTGTCCCCGTTGTCTAATGATCTAATGGCTGTTTGAGGGGCTAAATCCACCATTGACCGAAATATCATATGTACTCTGGGTGATATATCCTGTTAAATACCTTTTACTGTAAGCCTCAGTACCCTCTGGTAGTCATACTCCCCCAGCAATCGTTTGATGACATCTATACATCTATCAGCTTCCCATTTACACCGGTAATTCCCAGCCATGGTTGATAATACCGGCGGGTATTTTCCATTCATCTCCCCTTTCTGGGTACCACTCATCGCCATCAATCCCATTGATTCCCATGGAAAATCGCCGTCATAAACTGCTTGGTGGTTTCAACCTACCCCTCTGAAAAGTGATGGACTGAAAGTCAGTTGGGATGATGACATTCCATTCCCAACTGAATGGAAAGTCATTCAAATTTATAGAAATTCCATGGTTCCAGTCACCACCAAGCAGTAAAAAATCACCATAGCAATCACCATGTGCTGGCCGCCATTTTCGATGCATTCACCATGGCTCCCAGTCGCCAAACGTTGAACAACGGTGTGATGGCTGTGGTGAGGGTGTAGACGAAGATGGTGAGCGCAGCACCTGGAGCTGACGCTCGTGATTCACCATAGTGTAACCATGGGCATACCATGGGATTTTCATGTGACTGGAGAGGGTGATATCATGGAACTTCATGGTACAGGGTGATTCAAACGAGCAATGAATATCTGGCAGGAATAGCCAATATCAATGGTAACATATGGGAAATATATAACATAACACAATGGGATATATAAAGCCACAATATAATGGGATATATAGCCAAAATGGTCAGGAATCCAACCCAGTCACTGAAAAAACATGCGCAAAAATTTCTCAGTCACGAATGCGCAACCACCGAATCATCTTCCAAAACGCCGTCCAGACACGCACACCACGGTTGGCATTGGTGGCACCCTCCACACCCAGTCGCTTTCCCAAGACACCAAAGGCCTTGGAGTCCCGGATCCCAAAGATCTGAAAAATGGGCTGCTGGGAGGTCATTTACTGCAAATCTCACTTTGGATATAGGAACAATATGGAAAACTTGAGAGTTTTTCATCTGTAAATATCTGTCAAAACCCGATTTTTCAGAAGTACCAGTACATCCAGTACTCATCTTTTGGGATCATAGCAGCAGTTCACGCCCAGCAGCCCACAAGAAGCCTCCAGAGGCCGCAAGCAGCAGAGGGACCAAGGTGGTCATGACAACCAGATCGTGGGGCAGAGCGCGGGGTTGAAATTTTGGGGGAAAGACCTGCAGCAAGAGATGGTCTTGCTCAGTAGAATATCTCAAATCCAGTGCTGCGTTTTGGATGTGTATGACAGTGCTGCGTAGTCTATCATGTGGGTTTCCTCAACAGACCGCCATCATCACGCCATCAGGCAACACAAATCCTGAACCCATCACCCATCCAAATGATGTGTGTCCAAGCAAGTCTATCTCCTTATGGAGCCGCAAATGTTGCCTACAGCCGTGGCAGAATTCCCCTGGCAATCTGCTGGTAGTGGGATTTGCCAGCCATGTTGACCAATGGCTGTCCATCCTCTATTCTTGAGCAACAACCCAAATATGGGGTCTGCCTCAGAAACATCAAAACTGGACCAATGAACTGACCAAATTGATCGTTTGTAGTACGGAGATGCACAGACCATTTCAACACGTTTGAGAGATATCCTATCATGACCTGGCAATAAGGCCCATATCTAGATGACCTCCCCGTTGAAGACTTGAACTTTCCTTCTACTTCAATGGTTGACTACAGGATAGATAGGAATTCTCAGCCTGAAATGCTTGGTGAGACTGGGAGGCTTCCCAGAGGTCGACCAGCTTGTGGTCCCAGGAGGTACAGCTTGTGGTCATGGCTCGGGTGGGATCCCAAGTTCTTGGTTCAGAGCATCCCCCTTTTCTGCTTGGTCAATAAGAGCCTCATATAATCATCCCTCAACATGGAACTCTAGCCTGAAACTTGCTCGATGCCCACATGCACTGCCGATGCAGCGCTTTCTTGAATTTTATTTTTCCCAAAAAGATCTACTCCCAGTAGATTCCCCATTTCTGGCCGAGGGAATGGAAACCACCCAAGTCACCCTATCCAGGTCTTCTTTTTTTATCCTTGACACGTTTGCTGCGACCACCTACGGTGTCGAGGTCCAGCAGCCAATGACAGCCTCTAGTCGGATCCAGTGAATTGTTGATCCATGGCCCTTATTGGGGCTGGTGAACCTTAGGTTCAAGAGGGAACTCCCTCTACCGGTTGGTCAACGGGATTCCCAGTTGAGCAGTGTTCTCCTGTGTCGTCCCGCCTGCGCAAACTAGTTAAGAGGATTTTCCCTGATGGATTCTTATTCTTCCCAAAAAAAACTGGATAGTATAGTCCCCTATAATCAACCCGGGTTTTTTTCCAGCCACTGCTCAGTTCATGGTTTTTGAGGACTGCCGCAAGCTACGGAACCGGAACAGGTCCAACTCTGGACCAGGTGAAACCAAGCCGTGGCCGGTGCTATCCAGAAATCGGTCCAAAGGTCTTCTCGTTTCACGTTCGATCCAAAAAAAAACAGGCAAAGCCCACATCATGATCATCATGATTTCATATGATTTCCAGATTTCCAGAAAAAATATAACTGGTTGGTGGTTGAGCCTACCCCTCTGAAAAATATGACTTCGTCAGTTGGGATGATGACACTCCCAATACTAGTATATGGAAAAATAAAAGTCATGTTCCAAACCACCAATCATTCATCATAATCATCATATTGCCTAGTAAAATATATTCATAATCATAATAATCATCATAATCATCATCATAATCATCATAAAAATGTTCCAAACCACCAATCAGAAATGGTCATAACTGAGTCAACTCCTCCAGACATCGGGACCCAGCTTCACGGGCGGCGAACGGCCGGCACCTTCAGCGACGCCTCGTGGCCCGTGGAACTCGTCGTGTCGTCTCGGGGGTTTACGTAGCGGCTTAGCGTCTGGTGCCGTGGTGAAAATAGATCAAAAAGGATGATTCACCATGAACCTATCAACAACTTCGTGCTTTATTACCTATCCCAAAATTGGTCACATGATTCACCATGATTTATGAACAAGGTGGATTTACCGCAATATTTACGGAAAATGGATGAAAAATGATGAAAATGGTGGGGAAAATGGTGGGAATTTCCATGGTTCCCATTCAATTCCAGTCCCGTCCTCCTGTTGCATTGGGCTTCCACACCGAGGACGGCAGCGCCTTCACAGGCGGAGCCGGTGCTGGTGACACCTGCAGGCTCTTGCTGAGCAGCAGTGCTAGGTCTCGGGCCTCGGCACATGAGTTTTCTTGGATTTTCTGCTGTGAAAACTGTGAAAAGCTCTTGAAGAACCCGGGTTTAGTTGCGGTGAGTTTCACATGTTTTTTGTTCGGAGCAGCTAAGAAATAAATGAAGACATTGTAGCAGAATCAGGATTTAATTGGCCAAGTCACTGAGAGGTGGGTGAATTTGCACTCACAAGATCGCCCCGAAGGTGGGGCGTCCACTGACTTTACAATCCCCTGACCCCCCCCACTATTACACTCATTGAAGATCTTCAATTCATAGGGAAGATAAGGGGATTTACTCTTATTCATAAGAAAGATTAAAATGATGCGAGTGTGATGCCCTTGTTCCATGTTGATAGTGGCCCAAGATGCTTAAAAAGATGTAAAAAAGGATTCTGGAAACGAGATTTCGAAGACGCTTACAGCACTCAGAAAGCCTTTTTCAATCCCCACGAAAACCATGTCAACATATGTTCAAAAAGCCATTTATGACCACGGTTTTGGCTCTTAGTCAAGACGTCATGAATTGCATTCCGGGCAAACGGTAAATCCTGGCCGTAAATTTACCCTTCACATCCCTTCACTATCTCCAAAATCACCAGAAATTGCTGGTTCTTCATGGGTTCTTCATGGTTTCCCAAGCATCCCCAGCTGCGACCCCTCGCTGCTTCGCTCGCGACCCCTCGGGGCGCCCTACCGTTGCACCGATGCCGTCGCTGGTGACCACGCGCTCCTCTCGGTCGACGCCCTCGAGGGGATGGCCTGCCATGAGAAAAGCCACGCGACTTTTTGGTGATTGAATGGGATTCAATGGGTAATTCATGGGATTTAATGGGTAATTCATGGGATTTAATGGGTAATTCATGGGATTTAATGGGTAATTCATGGGATTTAATGGGTAATTCATGGGATTTAATGGGTAATTCATGGGATTTAATGGGTAATTCATGGGATTTAATGGGTAAGTCATGGGATTTAATGGGTAAGTCATGGGATTTAATGGGTAAGTCATGGGATTTAATGGGTAATTCATGGGATTTAATGGGTAATTCATGGGATTTAATGGGTAATTCATGGGATTTAATGGGTAAGTCATGGGATTTAATGCGTAAGTCATGAAATTTAATGGGTAATTCATGGGATTTAATGGGTAATTCATGGGATTTAATGGGTAATTCATGGGATTTAATGGGTAATTCATGGGATTTAATGGGTAAGTCATGGGATTTAGTGGGATTTAGTGGGACTTAGTGGGGATGAATGAGATTTCATGGGATTTCATGCTGATTTAATGAGATCATTGGGAATATCAAATGGTGGCTTGTTGTGGAAGTGGTTTTGCAGTTATACAGTTATACAGCTATACATAAGAATAAGGTGGGAAACCCAATGCCATAAACCCACCATTTGGGGATGGTTGAAATCCCACCCATAAAAGAAAAGGTGATTTTGGGTCATTGCTTTGGGTTTACCTACCACGTTAGTCACATTGATGATGTGAGAATGATGATAACAAATGATGATTAAAAAATATGATGACAATATGTATGTGTAGTCATATCAAGCCAAGTTATATATCTATATATATATATATGCGATTCATATTTATGATAGATATATTGATGTTGAATAAGATGATGAAACAAACATCATCATGATAATAAGGATCTGAATTTGCTGGAACTATATCTCTCCATTTTCGCTGGACATATGTACTCGTGACTCGCTTGGATAAAGAAACAAAAACTGGCTTGGAATTACCACATCGAAAATGGCCCATTTTTTATAGGTAAACCCAGGTAAACCATCTATAAATGGGCCATTTTCCATGGCTATGTGAAATAACCAGAGGGTAAAATATCAGAATTAGTAATTAGCAAATTAATGAATGAGTAAATATAGAAAGTCAAATTACTAAATCAATCCACCAGTAAATATAGAAAGAACTAAATTGAAAACCATATTCTTGATATCATATCTCATGGGTGTATCCCATGATACTAATAATCATGAAAAGCGAATCATTGGGGAAATGGGTAAATTTGCACCAAATATATCTTGATATATAAAATTGAATTGCCAACTAAATCAATCTGGAATTTGACAGAAAAACAGGATTGTCTTTGACAGTACCATGCTTTTTTCTATATTGCACTAAATCAATGTCCATTGAAAAAATACAAAAAAAATGGGTGTATCTCATGATTTCGGGATGGGTCAAAACCTATTGTCACCGGGGGAATAAACAGCCAATGAACATCCATTAATCAGCTATGACTTTGGGGATTGGCCAGCTGCCCAGCTGGCAGACTTTGGGGTACCCGGCCTGGTAAAGCAACATTTTGCTACGGAAAATCACAACTTTTAATGGGAAAATCCACTATAAATCACCATGTTCAATAGCTATGTTAGTTTACCAGAGGGTAAATCAACACACAATTCATGGGCCATGTTCAATAGCGTTGTGCGAGCTTACCGGAGGGTACCGTTTGGGTACCAGGGTGTGAATGTGGGTAAAACCATGCCATTTTTAGCCCACCCATGACCGGGAATGGTTGAAATCCCAGCTATATATTTATGGTGATGACTGGGGGGCGACTGGGGGATGGTGCAAATTTCATTGTTTTACCCACATGATCGCCATTTATAGATGATTTTCCATGATCATCCATGATATTAACCATTGTTAACCAATTAAATCATCATTAGATCACCATGAAACCATCTTAAAATCCCATAGTTCGCCATTAACCATGTATTTTTACATTTATAGCATGTTATAGCCGTTTTTGATTAATAATCATCACCATTTTTATAGCCATAGAGTGAATGGACTATCGCCAATCTCCGAGCTTCCGCACTGACGCAGGGAGCAGGCGCAGCCGACAGGTCTTTGGCCTCAAACTTCGAGTCGAGGAGTTCATTCGGAAACGGGAATTCAATGGTGATTTCATGGGAATTTCATGGGAATTTCATGGCACTTAGTGGGAAATTCATGGGAAATTCATGGGAAATTCATGGGAATTAGTGGGGATTAATGGGATTTAATGGGATATAATGGTGATTTAATGGAAAATTCACGGGGTATAATGGGATTTTATAACCAACATTAACCAACTACAATGACTACTCCACCTACGAATGGAGATGTCCTATTAGAAAATTTACTTGGGGGCTGTTGATTAATTATTCAATGAAAAATCTTGGTATTGAACTGATAGAACTCGAGGATTGAACTGGTCGTATATGAGGACAAAATGCCAATATGATGGGGATATGAAAGGATGCGTATGACCAACATGTATGATATTTGGGTTCCTATACCTCCAAAATTCTCATTCAACCGTGAATGTGCGATGACCAACCTTCTGCACAAACTCCGTGATCTTCGAGGCTTGTTCGAACCATGATGATTTCTGCATCCCAATCTGGTTTTTCTGTGACCTTTTTGATTGTCTATACTCTTTTGGTGATGTTGAATGATTTTTTTCTGATCAGCTTGGAGGACAGAAAAGGTGGAGGACAAAAAGGCTAAATCCTATCAAGAATTGTCACCCGAGATGCGATTTCGACAAGCCATCACTCGATGGTTCCTAGCCCCATCAAATGAAACACACATTTTGATACATTCTCCCAATTCCCCCCCCCAAATGTCCCTCAAAATTCCACCATGTTTAGATGGTTATGTATATCGCCTTACCCTCCGGTCATTTCACATGGCCATGGAAAACAGCCCATTTGTGGATACACACATATATATATACTGGTTGGTGGTTTCAACCCCTCTGAAAAATATTAGACAATGGGAAGGATTCTCCCATATATTATGGAAAATAAAAAATGTTTGAAACCACCAACCAGTATATAATTATATATATAATGATGAAGTTCCATTGCTATGTTAGTTTACCAGAGTATATATCATCTTATGTCCCCATGTTCTCTTGGTTTTCGAGACGTAAGAACACATCACAGCATTTCCTTGGCGAAAATATGCTTTCTGGCCGCATCGGCTATGTTTCTTGTGTAGGTGATATCTATGCGATGTTTCTTGGTCCGAAAATACATGGAACATCATACAACATCATAAAAACCAACTTGTATCAATACGATACCCTCTGGTTATTTAACATAGCTATTGAAAATTGCCATTTAGTTCGTTGATTTACCTTTTAAAGATGCTTATTTTCCAGTTAGCAAACTGTAAACGCTTACCGGAGGGTATGTGTTTATGATGTTCCTCCATACTATTTTGCCAATGGGGTGTATCATCCTTACGTCCCGATGGTTTGATACGCTGTATATCCGAATTTGCTAATATGGTTGATTTGTCGATCTAATAATATGATAATGATATATCATGCAATACGTGTGTCTGCGTGTGTATGTGAGTTGTGTTTTTTTTTTTCTGATGTAGGGTGTTATCATTTTATAGGTACCTACGCGAGGCTTACATTTCGCGTACGCGCGCACAATTTCAGCCTACGCGGAAGCTTGGGTGGGGATAGGTTGCCTACGCAGGCCTACGCGCGTGAGGTTTTATGCAATTTTTAGCTAAATACGCCTACGCGCCCACAGTCTCAGCAACATTTTCGTATGATTGCGCACCCTTTTGCAAAGCTGTTCATGATCCAATGATCGCATTAAAAACAATGAGGAGGAAGAGGGCCATGTGCTTATTCATTGGTTGTTACATGGTGAGAAGACATTAGGCAACTACCTATTTCGCCATTAATGCATCGAGTACGTTGAGCGCACTTTTTTTTTCCAGTCCGCAGATGACTCAAACGAAGAGGAGGAAGAGGAACTTGAAGAAGAAGAAGAAGAAGGAGAAGAAGTAAAAGAAGAAAACATGTTTCCGCAGGTGTAAGACGCTGGTTCTGCCGTCGCTTCTTGGCAGCAGGGAAACAACATATCATATTATACGTTGCAGGAGCATGTTTGGGGGCATCCCTGGTCATGAGAGTTTTCGCCTACGCGTTGCCTACTTTTCGCCTACGCGGTGCCTACGCGGGGGAGCTCCTTTATTTTCGGATTTTGGCCATGCAAACTTCGAGGCTTGAGACTCTGCAGAAAAGGGAACGGAATAGTTCCATTAGCTTTTGTTTCTCAGCAAAACAGTTGCTATCTTCTAATTACTTGTGTTTTTTGGACAGCGGAAATTTCACATGCCGCATCGAGCTACACTCATTAGACCCTTCAATCTTGACCCACAGGCTGCAAAATTCGTCGAATCCGCGGTCGCCTACGCGGCGTCTGCCGCAAAATGAAGCAAAATATGCCTACGCCAGCCTACGCACCCCAGCAAACTGCCTACATCCAACCATGTGCAGGTCAACTTTCATATAAATCTTTCCTTGTAAAAAAAAACTCTGCTCATGTGTGTATGTGTGTATGTGTGTATGTGTGTATGTGTGTATGTATGTATGTATGTATGTATGTATGTATGTATGTATGTATGTATGTATGTATGTATGTATGTCTGTGTGTGTGTATGTATGTATGTATGTATGTATGTATGTATGTGTGTGTGTCTGTATGTATGTATGTATGTATGTATGTATGTATGTATGTATGTATGTATGTATGTATGTATGTGTATATATACATACATACATACATACAGACATACAGACAGACAGACATACAGACAGACAGACATAAATACATACATACATACATACATTACATTACATTACATTACATTACATTACATTACATTACATTACATTACATTACATTACATACATACATACATATATACACATATATATATACATACATACATACATACATACATTAATTACATACATACATAAATACATACATACATACATACATATATATATGTTTACAGTATGTATGGGCTTGTCTGAAAGTAGGGTACAGTACTCCCAAAATCCAGTGGTTTATCATGGTCTATCATTTACCCATTGAAAATTGCCATGCAAATGAATACCCCATTTCAAGACACCCCAAGTATATATATATATCCCCATGAAATATCCCGTTATATCCCCATGAGATACCTATATAAATCACCATGAAATCCAAACAAAGTGTTTCCACCATGCAATCATAAAATTACAATGAAATAAGACTAAAAACAACAATCATAAGTTGGTTATACATATACTGTGTATATATATATACTGTACACACATCCTTTCCCAAAAAGAAACAAACACAAAAATAGAAAACACATGAAGAAATATATTATGCTGGTAGCGTGTATATATATATATGTATATACATATACACAGATAGATAGAGTATCAGATATAACATCACCTCCAAAGATGTTATTGTTCATAAGTGAATGTATCATACATGCGTTATATACAAATGTAATTATCATAGATATCTTAGATATAGCCCCCAATCAAAAAAGACAAAAGAAAAAGAAACATGAACAAGGTTATGCTGCGCTATATATATATGTGTACAGTATATACCATTATATACCCATTTCAGTAGATAAGTAGATTAGTAGATTGGATAGATTAGATATAATCAACAAAACTTTCCCATTAAAAAGATTAGATAGACAGATAGGTAGATAGATAGATAGATATACCCAATAGGATATACGCACAATATTATATATATATATATATATGACAGATAGATATCTTAGATATACCCATTACATATACCCATTACCCATTGATCATTGGATAGACATAATTATAGATATATTTTTTATATACCCATGATTACGGGTACAGCAATATTTCCCATAGATAATATATATATATATATGTATGTATGTACATATATATATATATATATTATCCTATTGTTCATATATTAGCAACATGATAGATACACCCAATGGGATATACCATAATACCCTATGTGTATATATATACACACATAGATAGACGGATAGATAGACAAATAGACATATGTATACATATGTATTCATATCTTAGATATAATTACCTATGTTTAAAAAAAAAGAGGTCCCTGTTCTTCATCCGCCCAGCCACCGAGCGCACAATCTCCTCAGCATCCTGCGACGAGGGCGCCAGCACCTAGGGAAGCGGCACCGCGCGGGGCACGGCAATAGAAGAAAAGGTGTGGAAAAAATGAGAAAACGCTGCGAAATCTATGGAAATCCATGAAAATCTATGGAATTCAATGATGATTCATATACTCAGTTCACCCAAATGTATGGAAATTTATATTTATGGGAACATATTGGGAAATGCTGTGGGATTTTCTTGTCAAGCACCGAAAACAAATTCGGTACTCGTCAAAAGACGTTGAAACAAACAGCTGATGTTGGTTTAAAAACACTGGAGGAAACGGAGTTTTAGTTGGGCTGTCAGGGCCATCCGCAGATGGGATGGCCTACGGGCCCGGAGTGCTTTCAACCCACTGCAGGAATTTGACGAGCTGGGACCATATTCGACGAGAAAGGTTTGAAAGCACCAACCTGTTTGTTTTGAAAACTATCCAGTTTCTCCGTGTCTCTAAGTTTCATCCCATATATTTATGTTCGAGGGATCCCCACTCGAGATGGACGAAGAAAACGCATCAAGCAAGAAGTAATGTTCTGTAAAAGAACCCATCTGGAATCTGGACCTTTGAAACAAGCGAGAATAGACCCATGCACCCCCACGGTACTCCAACCAGGTCAGTTGGGGACCCTGATGGCACACCTATTCGTATAAGCTTCCCATACTATTGGGGTTTCTTGCGGGAGTAGCATGGAAGGCTTATGGGGTTCCTATAAATTACACCAGTTTGATTCCTTTTCCTGGCCATGGTGTATGATCTGTGGCTCAAAACATGGTGGGGGCCGTTCAATGGGAATTTCAGGATCCTAAATTGGAGGTAGCCACCATATATAAGGCCTACTTTTGAGGCCTATGTAAGGGAATATCCCCAGAAATTTGGGCCTTATATGGTACTAACGTACCTCCATCTGTTGGATCCTGAAATTCCCATTGAGCAGTGGCTTCCTTACAACGGCTATGAGAAATTATACCAACCCCTCATCCGACATGTTCATCCATGGGAAAATTTGCCATGCAACTTGACCATGGCACGGACCCTCCATCCCCCCTGGCAACCGGCACCAACTTCGTCGTTTTGGGCGCCTCACATTCGGGACGACTTCTCGGAGTTTTCATACAGGACATCAGTTCCAAACACCAGAACCCAGCAAAAAGTAGCCATGGTTTCTTTGGGGCAATTTTTTTGACCAGGATCCGCCCAGCATCCTTTTGTGATCCAAGTGCGAAGTGGAGTGAACCAAGGAATGGCGATGTATAGCAGCCATGGTCTTTTTTGATGTTGAGAACGATCCCTGCTGTTTGTGGTCAGCACTTAGCGCCAAGTGATGTACTATCCACAAATTACCTCACTTCGATGTATATGAAATCCAGTATGATCTATACAGATCCATATGTCGGGGATAGTCCCACTATAAAATTTATGTAAAATCGTTTATCCGAAAAAAAAAAAAAAAACAAAATCGCCCCTTCTTGTGGCCTATTTCAAAGTCACCAAGTTCCATCCCTGCCGCCAGGCCCCACCTTTGGCACATGTTTTGGGAAAAATCATCTGTATGAAAATCATCCAGAAATATGTATATATACATATATGGCATCGATATGAAAATATTTCTAGATTTGTTTGGACTGGAATCAGTTGTAGATGATTTTCCCGTTCTCATAGAATATGGTGTACATGGTATCTATAGGTATCGATGAATGTTCATACCTTGGAGGAAAAAACTAACCATGTTCTACATAAATCTTACAAAAAAGGACCAAAATGATGTGGATGTGTCAGCTTAAATCAGCAGAGAACAAACCGCCACATGGGTTACCCTCTGGTAAACTAACATAGCTATTGAAAATGGCCATTTATAGTGGATTTACCCATTAAAAATGGTGATTTTCCATGGCTATGTTAAATAACCAAATCCATGACATGTTCATGGTGAATCATCATAGATTTCCCATCATTGTCCCATCCACATGAACCCAGATGTTCCAGGCAGATTTTCCATGTCGCCATAGCCGCAGTCGCCCCATAGCCATGCCTGCCTTCTTGGCAGGTTTCCGCTTGCCCCCACAGGGTCCAGCACTTAAGGCCCTCCGATTGGAACGCCTGAGCAGTCGTGGTCGACCAAAGGACCGCGGGGGGGGGTGTACTATATGGGGATGTGTCAAAACCTTGTACCCCTGTAGTTCACATCAAAATAGCTGGGATTTATGGATGTTCATCCCACTAAAAATGGTATTTTCATAGGTATTGATCCATACTCATATGATATCATTTGATGTATGATAGATCTAGATCAATACCTATTAATACCTATTAATCATATATGGATCATATATGGATCAACCTATAGATCTAGATCTGGGCAAAAGATTGGGATAATTTTTTACCAAGCCTAAGCATGATGCGACGCGAGGTCACGACGTGAGATCACGATTTTTGAGGTCACGTGAGATTTACCCAGATTGTATATGGGTGTGTCTGAAAATAGTGTACCCCTAAACCCAATGGTTAATGATCATTATCCCTATTAAATGGCTATAATTGGGAATATACCCTATTTTCAGACAAACCCATATTGTAGAATATGCTTAATCCGCTCCGATTATTCAATCTATCTAATTTCTTTACCGTAATTTACGTCTTTCAACTCCCATGATCTGCTTCGATGGCTGATTTTCGATAGCAAATGGTTAAATTGCCGCCGCTGTGTAGATCTCTTGAACGCTTGGGAGGCACTAATTGCAGTCAGCCTTGGGCCGAGGTGTTTTGCCACTGTTTTGATGAGTTCTACATTCCCTCTTTTGTTTTTCATATTCTCAGAGTCCTGACTCCCAATATGGAGTTGTCATGAGTCATCGGGAACAGAACGAGTTGATGAACCAATGGATTTGGAGGCATCCCCCGTTGGGACATAGTATCATCCAGTAACCATACATTGGCGTATCAGCTCAGTGAGTCATACATATGTATACAAGTATTACATATTATATATATATTATACGTATTGTATATGTGTGTATGATATATATATATATGATATACATATATATATCATATATATATATATATATCATATTTATACATATATATCATATATATATATATCATATATCCTCTGGTAATCAAACATGGCAATGGAAAATCCACAGCCACCATGTCTAGTTGATTTTCCCATCGAAAATCTCCATATCGCTGCCGCGCGGCTGCCGCATCCGCGACTCGATGTTCGCCCAGTGATGCGGGGTGCAGCCGGTGGGGTCTTGCACCATCTGAGCCTTCTCCTGGCGGAGCTTACCCTCTGGTTATGTCAAAATAGCTATTGAAAATGGTGATTTATAGTGGATTTTCCCATGAAAAATGGTGATTTTCTAGTTATGTATAGTTATGTTAGTTTACCAGAGGCTAGGTTTTTGCGCAGCCAGGTTTGATGGATCCAAGCAACCTTCCCAACCACCAACCAGCGGAAAAGTCGTCCTCCTCCCCCAGTAACTGCCACATGATCTGCTTATCACCATGTGCTCCACGACCTAGCACCGCAGAGACCGGTGTCCTTCCAGTGAAACATCCCCAAATGATGGGAAAATCTAGGGCATTTATTGGAATATCTCTGCTCATAATTCTCCATAATAATACGGCCAGGCGCTGTGTGTTGCCCGGAGATTTACAGGGACGTTCCCGGCAGTTTTATGAAGATATCTTACATGTTATTTCCCATTTCAATACATAGTTCAAGGGGGCGGCAGATTTTAATCCCTCATGATGATATGAAGATATCTGACATGTTATTTCCCATTTCAATAAAGAGTTCAAGGGGGTGGCGGATTTTAGTCCCTCATGATGATATGAAGACATCTGACATGTTATTACCCATTTCGATATAGAGTTCAAGGGGGTGGCAGATTTTAATCCCTCATGATGGTATGAAGATATCTGACATGTTATTACCCATTTCAATACATAGTTCAAGGGGGCGGCAGATTTTAATCCCTCATGATGATATGAAGATATCTGACATGTTACTTCCCATTTCAATAAAGAGTTCAAGGGGGTGGCGGATTTTAGTCCCTCATGATGATATGAAGATCAAGTTTCATGTTATTCCTAATTTTAATATATAGTTCAGAGGGGGTGGCAGATTTTTAATCCCTCAGGATATCTTAACATGTTATGATCTATTTCTTGATTGCCGCACCCAGCAAATACCGGGTTCGCAAGTTGTACTGAGCACTGGGCGATGCGATCGCGGTCATCATCATCATCATCATCATCATCATCATCATCCAACATCATCTAACATCATAGTTGTGGGTCTGGGCAACACACGTTGCCTGTGGGTAATAATAGGATGTGATGGTATATTATATGCTCTTGTTGGGTACTATGGGAAACTATAGAATAAATTATCCATTTATATGTATCTATCTAGCTAACTATCTATCTATCTGTCTGTCTCTCTGTCTCTCTGTCTCTCTGTCTCTCTGTCTCTCTGTCTCTCTCTCTCTCTCTCTATCTATCTCTCTCTCTCTCTATCTATCTATCTATCTTTCTTTCTATCTATCTATCTATCTATCTATCTATTAATCTTATCTTATCTTATCTTATCTTATCTATCTAATCTATCTAATCTATCTGATCTATCTAATATGTCTAATCTATCTAATCTATCTAATCTATCTAATCTATCTAATCTATCTAATCTATCTATCTATCTATCTATCTATCGATCTATCTATCGATCGATCTATCTATTAATCTTATCTTATCTTATCTTATCTTATCTATCTAATCTATCTAATCTATCTGATCTATCTAATATATCTAATCTATCTAATCTATCTATCTATCTATCTATCTATCTATTAATCTTATCTTATCTTATCTTATCTTATCTATCTAATCTATCTAATCTATCTAATCTATCTGATCTATCTAATCTATCTAATCTATCTAATCTATCTAATCTATCTAATCTATCTAATCTATCTATCTATCTATCGATCGATCTATCTATCGATCGATCTATCTATCTATCTATCTATCTATTAATCTTATCTTATCTTATCTTATCTATCTAATCTATCTAATCTATCTGATCTATCTAATATATCTAATCTATCTAATCTATCTAATCTATCTATCTATCTATCTATCTATATATATATGGGGTGTACAGTAATAAATCATCCCCAATAGTTTTGGCTTATGAAATTCTACTCCAAGTCTTGGGATGAAAACCCCCAGAATTCCATCCTGATGGCACCACGATCCGCTCAGGATTCAAACTAAATTTAACTTTACCCATACCAGGACTTGATCATATATTACATAGATGATATTGTGTACATGTACATATATACATATCTACTGTATAGGCATATATATATGTATATATATATATGTATATGTATATATATACATATAAGTAAGATGCATGTATCTGCACATGTTGGTTGGTTCAACTCCGAAGCAATGAATCAGTCGGAAGAAAAAAAAACGTCGCCTGCTGCGCCATGCGTGGGAGTCCAGCCATCTTTCGCTAGGATCTCCATTGCAGCATTCCTCGCAGGAGAAGATTAAGGGAAGTAATGCGATGGGAAATGTTGGGATATATGATACATAATACATATATCTCTAGAAACAATGTATATATATATATGTGTGTGTGTGTATGCATATTAACCTTTACAAAGAGATACCTACGTATATTTATATCATATAGTATGATTATCATATATATATATACAGTATATGTGTGCTTTCTTTTCCTGTGAATTTTGGGATATCAAACACCTGGGTCATGACCCTACCAGGAGAACTGGCGCCATCCCCCCCTGGAGTCCCTGGAGGCCCCGGGCCCTCTGAATTCCAACGTCACCGGAAAACCAAAGCTGGTAGAGACGTATTTGCTCCTGCCACCGTCGTCCGGGAATGCCGGGAATGATCAGTTGACCGACCATCTTCGGTTTTTCGTCAGGGATAAATATGGAGGATCCCGGTACTGTAGTTACATGGGGAAGTGGAAGATCGTTTTGTAGATCCCTTTGTTACCAAATGTACCAAATGTACAACCTTCAACAATTTTTTATATTAGCAAAGCAATAATGAACCACCCATATGGATTGATGGTTTGTATCCCACCCATAAAATGGTCAAATTGAGCATCTGCTGGAGATCAAGTCATAGCAAGTGACATAAATGGTACAATGTGGGGCCCCCGGCCACGATAGCTAAGTTGGTGCAAATAACTCCAATAACTATGGTTTATGATACTTATAACATCTTATAACTATAGTATTCATGGGGTTCAAAAACCATGTAAAAACAAAAAAAAACTCCAGACCGGGGCAAAAGTTATCAAAAACCTCGAGAAAACTCCAAAAAAAAATTACCGCAGAGCCCATGGGGCATCTCATCAAAGCCTCCAGACATGGGGTCTGCAGTTTTTTCGAGGTGTTGGCAACTTTTGCCCATACTCTTTTGTAAAATCTTTAAATATCTTAAACTATGTCCTACTTTTAAGTTGAATAAATTAAGTCTATGTACTTCACTTAAATTGTCTTCGGTTACCAGTGTTATATACGTTTTTCTTCGTCAAATATAGAATATGGTTCATAAATATTTTTATTTTAATAAGAAGTTTAATGAGTTGTTTCGATAAATTGTTTTCTTTTATAGATTCTTCATTATCACTAGTGAACAGAAAAATAATTAGACTTTAATATATTCATTTATACGTTTTATTATATTAGACTTAATGTCATTATTTTTTTGCATTATATAAAGCTATGATTATAAACACACCTAGATAATTAATTTTTACATTATACAAAGCTATGATTATAAACATACCTAGATATGATAAATCAAGAAATAATTCAGCTGTATCTTTTGATGACATGGTTCTAAATACTGAATTAAGAAAGAAAAAGTATCAAAAGTATATCAGGCTTGTATAAAAGAAGTTGATGCAAATGTAAAATTACCTGCGGGTACTAATTTTGTAATATATATATATATATGTATATATGTATATGCTAATTTAGATGAAAAACAACACAAATATCATATACAATAGTATCACATGTGTTGAATTTAACAAATATATACATATATATCAAAAGTAGGTAAAGGACCTAGTACATATATGTTAGTACACTGGTATATTTATGACTATTAAAAACATGCCAGTAGATATTTAAAAAAATATCTCAAATCTGCTAGAATTACTAATGTAACTCTTAATAGCAAAACTCAACTTATAATTACATAATGTATTGAAAAAATATTTGAATAAGCAATTAATATATTGTACTCAAAATGAATTAGATCAATTCAAATGAATATATAGAGATGTTTTAAAGAATTAAGATTTAGAACAAAATATGCCGATCATCCTGCTAAAGTACAGTAGTATATTTTACGGTACAATATGCTACTCAATTTTTATGACTATAATTAATGAATTATGGTTAAAAAATAAAATCGATTTAATAATTGTACCAACTATAGGAAAAAGAAACAGTGTTTAGCTATGAAATTTAATGAATTTAACATGAAACAAAATGTATATACTCTAGAAAATGGTTAAATTCTGAAACCTACTAGTGAAACAATAGTATATTCCTCTAACTATTTTAAGAATTTATATGAAAGAAAACATATTTACCTATAAAAATGTCAGCTAGTAATATTGTATATAGAAAAGAAGATAGAAGTCAACCTTTAATTAGGCATAGTGAGATACATTTTTTTAGGAAATACATGAGGCATACAGTTTCACTTGTCAAACTTTGATTGTCCCACACTTTCATATCATATCAATGTTTGTGGGTCTTGTCCAAATGTGATGATACAAAACCTTGGCATAGTATGCAGACATTAAACCAAGCTTGGCATAGTCATGCTCGTCAAGATGAGAATTTTGACGTAGATACAAAAGGGCGCTTATATTCTCAACAAAAATAGCCATGGAAACTCTGGTTATGACTAACATAGCCATGGAAAATCCCTCATAAATGGAGGTCTTAATGGGAAAATCATCCTATCTTATAAATCGATCATCTCTGGAGTTGACTCCTCAAGGATTCCAGGATGTTCTTGTTCAGCGGTGGCGGTTGCCGATAGCTCAAGAAACCCGTGCCACTGCAAGCCTGAGATCAAAGAAGACGCGTCCCATGCTCCTTGAGCACAGAAAACCCATGGTTTTCCAGAAAAACAAAACAAAACAACTATTTTTTTCCTCAGAAAATCCCAAGTTTTCTGAAAAAATTGCCAAGTTTTCCCAAAAATTGCAATATGTGTCCCTGTGTCCCCATGAAATCACCCTTTTTCCATGTGATTTAAAGCACCAGTTCTCTCCAGGCCCTTTGGTCAAACAGCGCCTCCAGGCGGTCGCCGGGCATCAAACCCGCCTCTTCTGCCCGGCTGCCCAGTGGCACAGCCACCACCAAGGCCTCCAGGGGATCCCATTGTGGTTGAACTGGGGATAACAGAATTAAACTAAAAAAGTTGAGAATTCATAGAACTGATATATTTAACATAGAATTAAACTACATAAGTTGATATCTCCACTGAACTGGGGATAACATAGAGTTAGACTGTTGCTCCCCCGTCCATCTAACCGCCCACATTATACAAGCAAATTCTATGGGGTTAATACCAAAAACAGGGGAGCAACACCTTATAGAAAACAATAACATAAATCAAAACAACAAACAACAAAAAAAACTCAAACAACCTAAACAATACAATAGATTATAAAAAAGACTATACCATAAATCATAACAAAAAAACAATTTCACTCTTATAATTTTGAAATTATAAAATGAAATTTATGTTTGCTGTTTCTTCAAGTTCTCCAGATGCTTTGTTGTTTGTGTGTGTGTGTCTCTTGTAATTCTTACATTGAATTTCATAATCATCACATACAGGGCAGGTCATCCATTTTATTTTAGCATTCACTTGTTCAATGTTTTCCGCTCTATGATTTCTTCTTCTTTCATTTATTTCTTCCCTGTGTGTCCTACCATAATTTCTAGCATATTCCTTTGCCTCCTCTATATGATTGTAATAATAGTCTCTACTCCTTTCATTATATTTTTCTTTGTTCTTTTGATGATTAGCCCTCATATATTCCCTACATTTATCACAAGTTTTGTATTTACCCTCTTCCATTTCCTTAAAACATTTAGCACACTTGACTTTAGTATCCTCCATTACCTACTATAGATAGGTAATAACTCTTTAAGTGTCTTTCCTATCCCTTTTCCCTAGATTATAACATAATCAACAACAAAATCATAACAACAAACAACAAAAGAAAAAAACAAAACAACATAGACAAAACAAAAGACGATAAAAAAGACAATACCATAAATCATAACAACAATAACAAAATCAAAACAACCTACTACAAACAAAATACAAGCAAAAAGAAAGCAGCAAAACAACAATAACAAAATCCTAACAACCTACTATTAATAAAACATAAACCATAACAACCTCATCATATCAACCCATCTCATCCGTCTCATCCGTAAAAACTATATAATATAATCATCATAATTGTATTGAATAATTTTCATCAAAGCATATACAAATATACATCATCTTACCTTATCTATTTCATAGGTGTTATTTCTAGAAAACATCATTGCTAGAAATAATCCTAGAAAATAATTGCAACATAAATTTAATAGAATTATTTTATCAAATTTATGGGGATAATCAACATAATTTTCATAATCATTTATTATGAAGAAGATGGGATTAATTACCACAGTCTCCCCCTATAGGGGAAGCCTCAGCCCCCAGCCAATATACTATCCCACCCCCCAGCATACATACCAGCATACATACAAACTAGCATATTACAACAGCATCACATCGTTCTCAATCTTAAATCTCTTTTAATCCGCAATTGCCATGCCCAAACCGCCCTTCATGAACTTGTTGATGACCACGTCTTCTTAACCTCAGCACGGTGTGAATGGCACAGCAATCCAAACTTTTGGGGCGAAATGGAGTGAAAAAGATTTGTGTTTTGTGCCTTGTTGGTGCCAGAATGTCAAGCTTTTGAAGGCTCACTGGCATCAATGCTCTATTGAAGCAATGTCCTATTCCTACTTGACACCCTGAAACCTTGCTACCTACAGACCTTGTCAATCATAAAAGCATCAGCCAAGAGCCCTGTTTTGCAAGTCGGCGAAGCAAGCACTGTTTTGCAAGTCGCCCTGTTGGCGAAGCAAGCCTTCTCAAGACGTGAACCATCATCGGGTCTGGGGGCCGCTGTCGACTGTGGGATGCCAGTGGAAGCCGTGGCCCTTCTCAGTCTCCTCGAGGTTCTCGGACCGAGGGACAAAGGGCACTCCACTCTTCTCAGTCTCAATCGGGAGGCCGCGGCCGATGATGATGCCGCCCTTCTCAGTCTCCTTGCCGGAGTTCTCCTCTGCCATGACGTTGTTGCAGCTCACGCACAATGCAAGGATGAGGCAAGCGAATACACCAGATTTGAGCGCCATGGCAATGCCGACACCCCTGAGCTAAAAAGCGTCCCTGAGTGGCTTGAGGAAAAACTCGCAAAAACGCTACGGAAGAACATAAAGATGCTGAAGAATGACACAAAATTCCAAGCGCAAAGTGAAAGAGCTAATTTCTGTAGCTTCCAATTGAGACTGTCAAAGGTGCTCAAATTGAAACAAATTCCAAGGTCAAGCTCTCCAAGAACATGTGGCTTCAAACCTCCAACTGGCATATTCCCAACAGCTGAGTGCCCCGACAACAGGATGAAGAGGATTGATGACAAAGCCAAGGCGAGGAAGGGCAAAGGAACATGGAGCAATCCCAGCCAATGACCCAGTCAAACACAAATTCGTGGGGAGAAACAAATGAAGGGCAAAACACAAAACCCCGAAACCAAAAGAGCACATCAAATCAACCATCTCATGGTTGCATCAAGTAGGCATAAGTAAGAAAAACAAATGCTTACAAGGCTTTCTAAAAACACTAAACCTTTAAAAGTTCGTGCCTCATCAACAATCTTGGGTAATCAGTTAATTTGTAATATTTTTGGTTCAACTTTTCTGCAATCTCTTGCACAACATAATAACCTTTCAGCCAGTGGGAAGTTCTTTCTTTCTGTGTAATTGCTTTCTTTCTCATTATCTTTACTTTGTCTCCCACCTCTAATGTTGGGTATATTCTTTCTTTCTTTGCCTTTGATGCTACATTCAGCATTGCTCTGAATTCATTGTTATCTTTCCTTGCCTCTTTTGGTGTCATACCTGTAGCGGAATGCTTCATCTTATCATTGTATGTCAGCATAATTTCTAAATTGTAATCAACCCATTGTATGTTTGCCTTTCCCTTTTTTTCATCAGCCTCCACTCCTTTGAAAAGCATATCTTTGTATGTGCGTATAAATCTTTCAGCAAATGTTGGGTGTCCTCTTGTCCTATGTAAGGTTATACCTTCACCTTCCACATAATCCTTAAAGTCTTCACCTGCTATTGCTCTCTCATCATCTGTATAAATCATTTTAGGCTTCTTACCCATTTTCCCTAATGCCTCTTTAGTTGCTTCAAGGACATCCTCCCCATTTTTAGTTTTGATTGGAACAACAACGGCATACTTGCTTAAAACATCAATGCACACTAACCCACCTCTGAATTTTTGTTCCTCATCAAAATCGTAATAACCCATAAAGAACAAATCAATCTGATAAGTGTGATAATTGTGAGGGGCTGTGAAGGAGTTATACCCTCTGGGCTTTGCTTTTATCTCAACATTTTTTCTAAAGAAATTTTCGACATCCTCTTTCTTGATTGTAGGTTCTTTCTTTTTAGCATCTTCTAATGTGGTCTTTCTTGAACCACAGCCCGCTTTATCAAAATAAATATCACTAATAATCTTCTGTTTATCACTCATTATAGAATAGATTATATAATAAGTATATATTATATCATTTATTCTTGCTCTTGTTGCTTCAGCCAGTCTTGATGTTTTTTTGTCTTATTATGTCTTGATGTTGAGCAATTCTGAACTGGTTTTCCACACCCACATATAAAATACTGTTGTCGCATATCTTTTGTCTTTTCACAATACTGTTTTTTCCTCTCCTTTATTTTCTCTGGAATGGCAAGTCTATATTCTTTCTGCTTCAATAGCGCTTCTTCCTTGTTCTCATAGTAGTATTCCAGTTGCCTTTCATTTTTTCTTTCTCTTGTTTGTTCTTTGTATTCTTCTTTGGTTCGTCCTGCTATATGTTTATTTACACAGTCATTGCTTTGGATGTAAAACCCTTCTCTTTTTGTCAATTCTTCTTTACTATTACAGGGGAAATTTTCTACTAATTCAATTTTACAATTTTCAAAACCAAACTTGTCAAATATGTAATTTACACTTCTAAAAAACGGTTTGTCTTCATAATCCAAGTGAAAAAACTTATGTTTATGGTGTATCATTCTTTTTGTTAGTGGCTCAATAGTTGAACCATAGTAGCGCTCTTGGTATGCTACATCTGTAATCATATATATTTTGCCCTTTTGATACTTATTATCACTCATTTGACCTCTTAATATCTTTTTTATAACATCATTTTGTTTTTAAATAGTTTTTATCTTATCACTAAATGCGCAATTACAAGAAACGCAATATCCAACTACATTATCCTTGAAGTGGCTTTGTTCATTATTAACCCTTTGACAGGTTGTATTTGATGAAATTTTGCCATTTTCAAAATCTATCACCAATGGTTCATTACAATTTTCACACTGGGTATTGATAAGGTTCATCAAAAAATCTACATCCACATAATCCCCATCTTGTACATCTCTTCCTGCCTTTTTGTCTTGCTCAATGTAATTAAAAACCTTTCTCTCAAAATACTGCTCTACTATCCTTTTAGATTTACTTTCTTGACCTTCATTATATTTGAAAAACTTGATTTTGTTAAAGTCTGTCGCCCTTGTAAGGGCGGTGAAAAACCAATTCTTACTAACATACCATTCATTCCAATCATATATCACTATATCACCATCAACACTACAGCCCTGCTTTGAATGAGCGGTGTAGCAGTAAGCATATATAAAATGCTTTCTCAATAATTTCAGTTCTATATTTTGCTTCTCACCAGTTGCCACATTTTGTAAAACAACAATATCACCAACAATATTCACAATCCTAAATCTGAAATTCACATTAAATTTCTTGCCTTTAGTCTTGATATATTTTCTACATATAACTTCCTCATTTATCACATATTCTTCACCTATATTTTTCATTTCTCTGATTTTGCTGGAAACCATTTTACAGGTGTCGTTTGTATAAGCAATGTTATTATCATACATTTCTATCTTGTCAGTCCATTTGAAATATGCATCAATGATTTCTCTAAAAGGTGTGCCTTCAAAAATCAGCCTTTTAGCATCTCTTAACTTTTGCCTATCTTCTTCAG